ACTCTTTCCACTTGGGCTGTAGTGTCCATAACAATGTTTACTGCTTGTATGTCCTCCAGCCTTTCGGTCCCTGCCATAGAGTACTGACAATCGGTATATGTTAAGGGGAAATGTCTCTTTCATTGCCTGACTTGCTTCATTCAGCAACAAACCTTCCATAGTCGTCCACTTTCTATCAAATTCCAGGGCGCTGTTGTTTTTTTATGGCTGACTATTATTCCCTGGAGTATATGTGCCTTTATTCATTTTTTTAATCCTCCAGTTCTTCAGTCCACAGGATCCTGGACACACACATGCACTCCCAGCATGTTTTCAAGGGACTAAAACCTCAGTCTGCATGTGGCCTCCAGCTCCATGGTCCAGCACACGACTGGCTACACCAGAGAGGCTGAGGTAATTTTGTTATTGTTAAAAATAAATAAATAAATAACAATTTTTGGGGGCCGGCATGTTGTGTGGTGGTTAAGGGTGCTGAACTTCCACATGGCTGACCATGGTTCGAGCCCCAAACATGGCAGCTTGCTTCCTCACTTTCTCTCTCTCTCTCTCTCTCTCTCTTTCTCTCTGTCCTTCTCTGGTCAAATTAAAATAAATAAATAAAGTTAAATAAAATAATCCTTTTTTAAAAAAACTGATTTTTAGAGGTCTGGTGCTAGTACAGTGGTAATGTAGCTGAACTGCCTGGGAAGGGTCCTGAGTTCATGCTTCGGGACCTCCCTACACATGCTGAACACACACACATATGCATCCCTATGATCCAGGCAACGGGGATGGAACACAGCATGAAGACTCTACTGGGGAACTCTCTCTCTTCAGCATGGATACTCTCTCTCTTCCTCACACTAAACTATCCTAATTTTTAACTTTTAAAAAATTATTTATTTGGGGCCGGCAGGTGGTGTGGTAGTTAAAGGCGCTGGACTCCCACATGGCTGACCACGGTTTGAATCCCAGACCTGACGGCTTGCTTTTTTCTTTCTCTCTCTCTGGTCAAATTTAAAAATAATAATAATAACAAATGGAAATAAATAAATAAATATTTTTTAAAAAATCAGCATGAGTAGCAACCATCATTTTTTTTAACACATAGCACACGAAATGTTAACAGCAGTCACCCAAAGTAGGAAAAGATGCACGCACATGCTATTCACTGTAATGCTCTTTCTAATACATCTGGAAACTACTCAAATGCCCATCAATAGGTTGAATAAACTATGGTACAATCACACGAGAAAGTATGCAGTAAAAAATAGCATGAAGACTATTTCTTCACTGGCTAGAATATCGACAATTTGTTAATGCCAGTTGGCAGATACACTGCTATAATATACTATCCTCTCTGCTTGTATATATACTTGACATTCTCCATAATACCAAGTTTTGGAAAAACAGGTTTTTCATTCAGTATTTTTTTTTTAAAGTTTAGGTATTTATTTCTTCCAAGGGAGAACAAGACACTCCCAATAGGGTCCTACCCAACAGTGTACCCCCAGTCTTGGCCATCCAGGATCACAGGCGTGTGTGTGCCCTGTGCGTACAGAGAAGCTCCAGGAGAACCAGGGACTTCCCTGTGGAAGTTCGGTTGCGGTACTGCTGCACCACCGTCTGGCCCCCATTCAAACTGGAGCATAGCACATTCTCATCAGGGATGGTCTCCTCCCCAAGACGGCTTCAGGGAAGAAACCGGTTCATTTAATGTTTTGAAGTTATCCGATTGAACTCCTAAAGTGCAGCCACCAAGATGTATTTCTCTTTTTCTTATTCACTGCAACAAGGCTGTAGATTCTTTCTGGAGACCCCAGTGAATGCTGGAAATCTTCCAAAAGAATTAGATCCGTTTGTTTCTCTGGGATTTTGCCAGTGGCCCAAACCAAAAGAGACAAATGGAGCTGTTGGCTCATCCATTTAATACTCACTGCCAACTCCCTTCCCTCAGAACAGAACACCCTTCCTATGCAAAGCAGCTTCCTTGGCATCATATCCCACGTCCATCAATGGCCAAGTTAAGAAAGGGTGTCAGGGTATCAGATTCAAGTCCTTCAAGATGGAATTCTCAAACACAAGACCAACTTCTCTCCCATTAAAAAGAGTCTTTAATGACTAATGTAAAAACAATTTTTTAATAACTTACCTCGAATTCTTCCCAAAAACCTTGTTTGACTTTATCTGTGGTCTCAGCTAATTTGCTTAGTTCTCGAACTCGACTTTCTATTTCAGCAGCATTAATACGAGTTGTGTTGAGGGGCTAATCAGATCCAGCAGTTGGTATAAAATGAAGAAAACATTTTTAAAAAAAGGTGTTAATACCAAAAACAAACAAACAAAAACAAAAACAAAAAAAAAAGAGGTTTCTACTTTGGTATTCATGAAAGCAAAGACAGGGGTTCACAGGACAAGATAATTTGCAATAAAAGTTTTCGAGTATAGTTTCACTTTTTTGTTTTCTCTTGCCAAGAAATCTATTTTTTTTTTGGGCTAAACACATACTTTTCTGATATAAATTCAAACCCATTTTCAAACCCCATAAATGTGGGCTGGCTCCATGGCACAGAGATAATGTGCTGCCCAAGAGAATCAGCATCCCACATGGAAATCACGGTTTGACTCCCCAACCAGTCTACCTGAAACACACAGGGTATGTGTGAGTGCCTGAGATCCAACAGCTGGAGGGTGCTCATCTCTCTCTCTCTCTCTCCCTCTCTCTCTCTCAGTCTCTCTCACATGTATACACGCTCTATCATAAACAAAGAAAGTGTACATATAAAATACATAGATATTCAAATATAATTTATGTGTATGTGTGTGTGTATACATATACATATATATATTTAGAGAGAAGTATTTTTTGAGAAGAGTAGCCTCTGAAATACCAGCAATTCCAAAATGAATAAATGTGATCCCCTATGGATCTGTAGTGAAAACTTCAAGAAACCTTCCTTTAAAAACCTCTGTGAGGGGGCCAGTGGGTAGCACGGTAGTTACAGTGCTGAACTCCCACATAGCCAAAGGCTGTTCAAGTCCTAGACCCAGTAGCTTGAAAAAATCACACCGGGTGCATGTGGGTGTATATCCACAATCCCAGGAGGAAAATGGAGGAAGAGGAGGGATTGCAGCCTAGCCACCCCCATGGGGGTCATTTCTCACCTTCCTTCTCACTGTCTCTGTCTCTGGCGAGCATATACTATGGCAAAAATTAAAAAACAAGAACAAACAAACAAAAAACTTCTATCAGGTCAGGCTAGCCTGGTGGATAAGGTGGCTGGATCCCACATGGCCAACTTTGCGGCTTCAGTCCTTGACCTTGTGGCTTGGAAAACACACCGGGTATATGTGCATGCATGCCCAAAATCCTGTGAGGAGAATGAAGAAGAAATGCAGTGTGACCATGCCTCCTGGGGGGTGCTTTCTCACTTTCTCTCTCTCTTCTCTAACAAGCGTACACACCACATAGTAAAACTAAAAACAAAAATACCCTAAAAGACCTTTTCAGATACTTATGGAAATGATATGACTTCTGGAATCCATTTTCAAACTTGCTAAGAGTCAGCAGTGAGCACAGTAAAGAATGATTTGATGGGTTGATCACAGCTGGTGACAGGTACGTGGAGCTTGACAACTGGCGATACCCTTCCGCCCACCTCTGTCTGGACCGATCTCTCCTAAGATTTGTAAAACTCCAAGTGGAGAAGGTGCTTTAACTTCCATCCCCTCACCTGCTTGAGCTGTAGTACTGTGCCCAGCGTTTCCACCATAGGATTCTTCTTGTAATGTTCCACAAGATCTGTCAAAGAATCAAACCGTTCTCCTCCACCGACATCGTATTTCAGTTCCTTTCGAGACAAAACGATACTGTTTATTATCCCATTGTTCTATCACTGCTTTTCCAGCACCCCCATGCCCACTGCAGCTTTATTCACAATAACCAGTAGACAGAAGCAGCCTGTGTCCATCAAGAGATGAACAAGGAAAATGTGGGGGATATTCTGATATACATATACACACACGCAATTAAATTTTTAAAAATCCTGCTATCCAGACACAAAGGACACATATTATAGGGACCAGCAGTTGATGTAATGGCTACGTCACTGGATTCCCAGGTAGTCAACTGCGGTTTGAGTCCCGGACCGGGCAGCTTAAACTCTGGCTGGGCGTGTATGCGTGCATGCCCGAGATCCCGAGAGGAGAATGGAGAAGAGATTATGGCGTGGCCATCCCTCCTGGGGGGTGATTTCTCGCTTTCTGTCTCTCTGTCTCGCTGGCGAGTGCATGCGCCCTATAGCAAAAACCTCTCAGAAAAAAAAAAAAAAAAAAAAAAAAAAAAATATTTTATGATTTTTATATATGATTTCATCTAGATGAAATGTCCAAAACAGGCAAATTGACAGAGAAAGACAATCGATTAATGATCGCCATGGCTGGGGGAGAGAGGAGTATGGAGAACAGCTATTACTGGGTACAGGGTTTCTTTCTGAGGTGATGAAAACGTTCTGGACTGGGCCAGCAGGTGACATGGTGGTTAAGGCTCAGGACAATCCTACATGGTTGACCACAGTTTGAGTAATGGAACTGGTGGCTTGCTTTCTCACTTTCCCTTTCTCTCTGTGTCTCTTTCTGGTCAAATTAAAATAAATGAAATTAATAAATAAAATTAAATAAATAATTCTATTTTAAAAAGAAGAGAGAAAATGTTCTGGACTTAGATAGTGGTATTGGTTGCACAATTTTGTGAGTACAGTAAAAACCACTACATTGTCTACTTTTAAAAAGTAAACACTACGGGGAACCAGCAGTTAGCGTAATGGCTATGTCGCTGGACTCTCACGTAGTCGACCACGGTTCATGTCCCGGACCCGGTGGCTTAGAACTCACGCCGGGCGCGTGTGCGTGCGTGCCCAAGATCCCAAGAGGAGAATGGAGGAGAAGGGATTGTGGCGTGACCATCCCCCCTGGGGGGTGATTTCTCGCTTTCTGTCTCTATGTCTCTTTCTGTCTGTCCAGCGAGCACACGCGCCCTATAGTGAAAATCTCTCCAAAAAAAAAAAAGTAAACACTATGGTGTATGAGTTATATCTCAATACAGTTATCATTTTAAAAACATTTTTTAATTAGAAACTGAAGCACAGGACCAGCAGGTAGCATAATGGTTATATTGCTGGACTCACACATAGTCTACTGCAGTTCAAGTCCTAGACCTGGTGGCTTAAAACTCATGCCAGGCATTTGTGTGTGTGTGTGTGTGTGTGTGTGTGTGTATGCCCAAAATCCTGAGGAGAATGAAGGAGAAGGAATTGCAATATGGCCACCCCCACCCACCCGAGGGTAATTTCTCGCTTTCTGTCTCTATCTCTCCAGCAAGCGCATGTGCCCTATAGCAAAAATCTCTCTTAAAAATAAATAAATAACCTGAAGCATAGGACCAGCAGGTAGTGTGGAGGTTAAGGTGCTGGATCTCACCTGACCGGCTGTGAAAAATCACGCCAGGCACATGTGCTCGTGTGCCCAAAATCCCAAGAGGAGAGTGGAGAAGGGTTGGGGTATGGCCATCTCCCCGAGGTGTTTTTTTCACTTTCACTCTCTCCTTCTCTGTGTTATGGTGTGGCCCTCCCTTCTGGGGGGTGATTTCTTATTCTCTCTCTCTCTATGGCAAGTACACCCATCCTATAGCAAAAACTAAAAAAAAAAATCAAACAAACAAAAAACTGGAGCATAGGGCTTAGCAGGTAGTATGATAGATAAGGTGCTGGTTCCCACATGGCCAACTTGAGGTTCAAGTCCTGGACCCAGAAGCTTGAGAAAAATCACGATGGGCACATGTGCGTGTGTGCCCAAAATCCCAAGAGGAAAACTGATGAGAAGGGACTGCATTGCCGCGTGGCCATCCGACCCAGAGTGATGTCTTACTTTCCCTCCCTCTCTGTCTCTCTTGGGCAAGTATAAACGCCCTATGGCAAAAATCTTAAAAAAAAAAGAAAAGAAAAGGCACTAAATGGGGGCTACCAGGTGGCATGGTGGTTAAGGTGCTGGACACTCCCGCATAACTGACTACGGATCAAGTCCCGGATCTAGTGGCTTCCTTTCTCACTCCCCTCACCCCCCGGATTTAATTATGTGTCTCTCTCTGGTCAAATTAAAATAAATGAATGAATAAATAAAATTAAATTTTAAAAAAAGCACTAAATGAACAGTTTCTATTTAGGAAACTAGGTCAACCTCCGTGGTTCAGTTACCACTTCGTTCTGTTTGTTTGTTTACTTTCATTTAGACGGGTCTGAACTGTGTCGACAGCCTCCCGCCTCAGTCTCCCAAGTAGTTGGTCAGTCACCATTTAAAGAACAAGAAACAGTTCAGTTCTCCCAGCCTTAACTCAGGGACTCTAACACAGTTACAGGCTGGCCTAGGGCAGCCCTAAAGAGGAGCTGAGGCCAAGACTTTAGAAGCTAAGACTTTGACACAGACTTCAGCTGCCATCAGACACAGGCAGGTTAGATGCCGCAGGGCAGAAGGTGGTGTGAATAAATAATCTAAGAGAGTTTTGAAATGATGGGACAATTATAATAAACAATATACCAAAAGTGGAGATGAAGATGCCCTGGACTAAATGAGCAAAGAGAATCTGACTCTGCATGTAATGGTATGTCTTCTCTCAGCAAAAAATTCAACCGACGTTTTCCCAGACCCATGGTTCACCAGAGCTTTACCTGACAGCGAATCATGACATGAGTCACTTTAGATTTGCCGTCATTGCTCTCCCCTTTGTCATCACCGGTGCGGACAGACAGAACGAAATCTCCAGGGTGGCTCTGGCTCTCTCGCACAAGAAAGCTACCATGTTTTCCTTTCTCGGTTAGTAATTTCTCTGCTTCTTTCCCAGAGAGGTGTCCATGAAACCACCTAGATTTTTAAAAAGGAAAATACATTGAGTTCTGCCACAGGTTCGTGATACTCTCGCACAAAACTGCTATGTACAATCGTCACTCCTAAGGACAATTAAAACCAGACACAATCCTCCAAGGAATGGACTGATCCCATGGAAGACAGAATTTACATTCCAGACAGGCATGAAAAAATGACAAAAATGTTAAGAATGGTCACTTAACTTCTTAAGTGTGTCATTTAAAGATAAATGTCCTCAATCTTTCCTATTTCCTTTTAAATCTCCCGTCTTCTCTTAAAACTGCAGTTTGCATTTTTCCATTGCCCGGCCCTAAACAAACTATTTAATTATGGTCAGTTAAAGAAGTTATAATAAAAATTGTAACAGAGGCAGAAAAACATTTTTAATGTCTGCCCTTGCTTTGGTACATGAAGACAAGATTAGAAAGGATCTCTGGGGACCAGCAGACAGTATGATGGTTATATATTGCTGGACTTCCAGGTAGTTGACTATAGTTCGAGTCCTGGACTCGGTGGCTTAAAACTCATGTTGGACGCACGTGCGTGCGTGCGTGCCCAAAATCCTGACAGGAGAATAGAGAAGAAGGGATTGCAGTATGGCTCTCCCCTCTAGTGGGTGAGTTCTTCTTTTCTGACTTTCTGTCTCTCCCTCTCTATCTCTATGGCAAGCACACACATCCTATAGCAAAAATCTCTAAAACAAAAAAAAAGAAAGGATATCTGTTATAAATTAATTGAAGTATTCCAAATTTGTCCATATTTCTGACTTACACTTCAAGGGACTCCAAATTTGCTATCACTGCCTTTGGACTGTGTTATCTCAAACCTTAATGCACATAAGACTTGGGTTGGAGTGTAGGATTTTGCTAAAAATATGAATTCCTGGGGCCAGCTGGCGGCATGGTGGTTAAGGGTGCTGGACTCCCATATGGCTGACCACAGTTCGAGTCCCAAACCTACTGGCTTGCTTTCTCACTTTCTCTCTCTCTCTCTGTCCCTCTTTGGTCAAATTAAAAATAAATAAAGTTAAATAAAAATAATTATTTTAAAAATATGTGAATTCCTATGTCCCAAAACCAGAGATATCAATACACTTAAGTCTGAGTGGGACCCAGGAATACGCATTTTAGCCAGCTCATGGTTACAATGGTTAAAACCCGCAATCCTGATGTAGGCCAGCCAAGGCTGTCCAAGGACAACCACTGAGACAACACTGCTCTAAGTCACCACAGAAACCTCCCAACACGGTCGTAGTAATCACATGGCATTTTCCCTCAGCATTTTGCTGAGAAAGCGGGCACTACCACGGCAGGCAACGCCAATGGCGCATTACTAACGTATATTTTTGAGTTGTTTTTCATCCACATTCAACAGAAAAGAGTAAAATCTAGAAATATACTATACAAAGTTAGCTGACAGCCTTTTGCTTGAAGCTGGATATTGAAATTAACAGCACGTAATGGCACTGACAAAGGTGTAAGCTGAAAAAAGAAACCTGACGGTGCAAATACACACACCTAATTAAGAAACCCTGAATTCGTACTGGGTCAGAGGGGAGACTGGGACTGCTGAAAGCAAAATATCATCAACACAAATAAGTCAAGCCCTGGTTTTCACCATCTGAGTTCCCATGACCTCTAAAATAACACAGGTCTCCTTAAGCAAGGACATTCTCACATACTGGTGGACGTCACATTAACGGAACTGATGGAAAGGGCTGACCCTCTGAGTCCTCTGTTCTCCTACTTCTGAGCTTAAACTGACATCTGTTGGTGGCATAGCTGAATAGCTGAAGAGTTGGTCTGGAGCCAGCACAGAGCGGCTACCACTTTGGTTCCTCCATTGTACTTTGTTTTCCTCTAACAACTCTCAAAGTGGTTCAGCTAAAATACAGTAAATCTTAAAATTACTGCATGTAGCAAGTGCATACAGGGACAGTTTGTAAGCGCTGCAGGAGGATGTGCAGCACTTACTGAAGGTTTTGCAAGAAAAGGTGCTTGAGGTGCTTGACCCTATTTTTCTTACTTTCATAATACTTTTAAGATTACGGCTTGAGGGAACCAGCAGTTAGCGTAACGGCTATGTCGCTGGACTCCCACGTAGTCGACCGCGGTTCGCGTCCTGGACCTGGTGGCTTAAAACTCACGCCGGGCACGCGTGCGTGCGTGCCCATGATCCCGAGAGGAGAATGGAGGAGAAGGGATTGCGGCGTGACCATCCCCCCTGGGGGGTGATTTCTCGCTTTCTGTCTCTATGTCTCTCTCTGTCTGTTTGGCGAGCGCACGCGCCCTATAGCGAAAATCTCTCTCACCTATAGCAAAAATTTCTCCCAAAAAAAAAAAAAAAAAGATTACGGCTTGAGAAATAAATATAAGCCTTTGGAGTCATTATACAGTCACACAGAGACCCTCACAATGCATTCGGGTAACTCGTGTGGTTCACAGGAGATGCACACTTGGTAGTCACTGAAATGCCACTGACCTTTCAGAGGTAGGATCTGCACAGTTCAGAGGATATTTGAGCTCAATAACATCTCCATTCTTCTCCTTTAACTGCCCGTGGTGCTCCATGTAATACTGGACCAGTTCAGCCAGAGTGGCAAACTTCTCCCCTCCGTACAGGTCATAGTAATCACCAGTGTTCTGAATCTTGATGTGGGTGACAGCTCCATTCCTTCTAAAATAGTCCATTGGAAAGAAGGGAGGGGAGACAAATAACGAGTTAGATTAGTAAACTGGATCTCACATTCAATGTCAGATTTCATCCAAACAGTGAAACAAAACCAAAGAATGAATTTACCCCTTTTTGGTAACAAATACAACAGACAACATAACCAGCCAATCAAGTCAGCAATACAGGATTTTATTAGTTTCTTTACCTTGTCTAGATTCTATTTTGAATGGCTGACCTATCAAACTGCATACATACGTGACAATACTTGTATTCTTCTCATCATTAACTGGTCAATGATATATATCATTAAAAACAAACTTTATTATAACCGAGCAAATCTACCCCTAAGTATTTTGTCCAAAAGAAGTTGTATAGCCACTAAAATATTTGTATAAGAATATTTGCTGTGGGGCCAGCAGGTGGCATGGTGGTTAAAGTGCTAGACTCCCACATGGCAGACCACAGTTTGGGTCTGGACCTGGTGGCTTTCTCACTTTCCCTCTCTCTGTCTATCTTTGGTGAATTAAATAATAATAAATAAAATTAAATAAACAACTTTAAAAAAAGAAAAAGAATATCTGCTATAATTTTATTAACAAAAAAATTTCTGGTCCCAGCAGGTAGCAGGGGTGGTTAAGGTGCTGGACTCCACATGGACAATTGTTCAAGTCCCAGATCTGGTGGCCTGAGAATCACACCAGGTGTGACACATCCAGGGGGAAAATGTACTAGAGAAGGGGCTGTGGTATGGTCATCTCCTCTGGGAGGTGATTTTTCACTTTCTCTTTCTCCTGGTGAGTGCACATGTCCTATGACCAAAAAAAAAAAAAAAAAAAAAAAAACTTCAAGTCACACAATCTTCTAGCTAAAACCGATTTATTTTCTTTTCTCCTTTTATGAAAGAGGGAGAAAGGGAGACAGAGTCAGGTATTTTTGACAGTGTGTCACATGTTACAATCCTCCTGCCCTAGTCTCTCAGTTAGCTAGGACTGAGGCATGCGCCTCCACACTGGAATGTTCAGGTCGACCTGGGAACCAAACCAGGACCACCATGCTAAGCTGCCAGCCCCTCATGTAGGGGCATTACCTATGCTAAGCCCTCTGACTCTATTTTAAGACGTAAGATTCCAGGGCCAGCTGGTAGGGTAGTGGTTAAGGCACTGGACTCCCACATGGCTGACCATAGTTCAAGTCCCAGATCTGGCAACTTGAAAATCACGCCAGGAGCACGTGCATGCATCCATGCCCAAAACCTCAGGAGGAGAATGGAGAAGAATTGCAGCATGCCATCACCCTTGGAGGAGGATCTGTCACATTCCCACTCACTCTCTCTCCAGCGAGTGCATGCACCCTACAGCAAAAACCTAACAAAATAAATAAATAAACAAAAAGACCTGAGATTCTCAAACTGTGAGAATTGAACCCAGCTGCTTGAAAAACACACCAGATGGGGACCTGCAGGTGGCATGGTGGCTAAGGCACCGGACACTCCCACATGGCAGACAATAGGTTGAGTCCCAGTCCTGGTGGATTGTTTTCTCACTTTCTCTCTCTTCTCTCTCTCTCGTCAAAATAAAATAAATGGATAAATAAATAAAATTAAATAATTCTTAAAAAAAAAAAAGAAAGAAAGAAAAGAAAAACACACCAGATGTAAGCATGTACACCAAAATCCCAAAAGGAAAATGGAGGAAAAGGGACTGTGACATGGCCATTCCAGAAGGTTTCCTCTCTCTCTCTCTCTCTGTCCATCTTTATCTAGTGAGTGCATGTGCCTTGTTACAAAATTAAAAAAAGAAAAAAATTTCCCATCAAGAAATCAACAGGAGGGGCCAGCACGTGGTGTGCTGGTTAAGGCGTTAGACTCCTACATGGTCAACCGTGGTTTGAGTCCCAGACCTAGAGGTTTGATTTCTCTTTCTCTGGTAAGTATACGTGCCCTACAGCAAATTTTAAAATAATAATAAATAAAATTAAATAAGTAACTTTTTTTTTTTTTAAATAAAAAAATGAATCAACAGGAGAGAGGGGAAATGCAGGAGCTATGGTCAAAATGAGTGAAAGCCTGGCCCAGCTGCAGCAGTACGTGCTGACTGAGACCGTTACTGCCAATCCGAGGCCACCTGCGAGGGCCGGGTTTCAGGCCCAGCTTTCCCTAAATTCAGGCATGGTGGTGTGTGCTGTAGTCACAGCTACTCAGGAGGCTGAGGCAGGAAGACAGTGACACAGCAAGACCCTGCCTAAAAAAGAAACACCACACATACATATACACACAACACAATAAAACATTTTAAAAAGTGTGGAAGCTGGCTCAAACTCTAGAGAGCTCCAGAACTCACGCGTGTGGACCGCTCCAACTCGTCCTCACCAAGTCTCTCGGGGGAGAAGAGACTCACGCCCCTTCTACTGGTTCCCAACCCCCTCACTGTAGGAGGTCACACACCCTGAGCCCTAGACGCATGCCACTTCTTCCGCAAGGCCTCCCCGCAGTGGAGCAGACAACCTTCCAACTAAGTGAGAGTGTAGTTTTACCACTTCCTACCTGGAAAACCCTCTGGCATTCTCTCTTACTTCCCACTTACCTAACAGAAAGCGTGAAGTCTCCAGGGTTGCTTTTACTGGGTCTTGCCAAAAAACTGCCATCAACTCCTCTCGTCAGCAGTAGGTTTTCTGCCTCTACGCCGGTGATATTTGGGTGAAACCATCTTGAGAAAGAGCAATGGCAAAGGCCTCTGTCAGCATGACTGTTCAGACCAGCACAGCGAAGATGTCTCAGGAGGGGAAGAGCTAACAAAACCACAACCGAGCCCGCCCTGTCCCTTCACCCCACTGGTCACCACTCCCCACCCTTCTTTTAGTAGAGACCTGGGAGCCTGCTAGCACATTAGGTGGGACAGGGGGCACAGTCTCTGCAACTGGGGTTGGGCTGTGAAGACAGTGCACCCGTAGAGTCAGGAAACAGCACACGGAATGAGATTAGGCACCTGAATAAGCAAGTAAAGAAATAAACTGCTGAAGTAAGCACAGACACTAGCAGAAGCCAGGTTTCTCGTTCTTGGTGGGGCAGGAGGCACAAATATGGAAAGGGAGAAAAAGCCAGAATAAATCCTGTGCTGACAGTCTGAATCAGAGGCGTCACATAACCTCTTAATTTTTAATCTACGTGAAGAGTTAGATATGAAAATAGAAATGTATGCCTCTGGGTTTGTGTGTACATAAACTCACACACACGCATGCATGCATGCACACACACACACACGCATTCCCCAGCTCGCTCTTCTGAAAGGGTTTGGAAGCAATGATTTCTCAGTAGTGATCAGTGCACCTGACACTCTTACCTTCCTAGGTTTCTAATACCATTATCCAGGAAAAAGGAACTGGGCTACTTGGAGAAATGGCTCATTGCAAGTCTGGGGCAGTAAAAGGAAAAGAAGATAAGCTTGGGAGTCGGACAGCAGAGCAGCAGAGAAACCTGACGCTCTGAGAGGCTGAGCCACACGGGAAGGTTCCAGGTTCATGTCTAGAGACCTCCCTGAGTACACGAGGCACAAGTCCAATGATCTGGGGCTGGCTAAACTGGGGTGGATCACGGTCATGTGAAGACCCTGTTAGGGTGGTATCTCTGCCTCTATCACTCACAGAACTAAATAAAAACTTACAAAAAAAAAAAAAAAAAAAAGATGATGAGTTTGGAACATCTTCCGGTGCCACAGTGAGAAACATTCCAACGAGGATATGTCAGACACAGCTAGGATCCAGCGAGAAAGGAGGGATCATTTGTACCTCAAAATAAGCAATATTAATGGATTATCAAATAAAGTAGAGCAAACCAAAAGTTCATAGAGATATTTTTTTAGAGGTTTTTGCTATAGGGCGCGTGTGCTTGCCAGACAGACAGAGAGAGACAGAAAGATAGAAAGCGAGAAATCACCCCCCAGGGGGGATGGCCACGCCACAATCCCTTCTCCTCCATTCTCCTCTTGGGATCTTGGGCACGCACACACAAGCGTCCGGCGTGAGTTTAAGCCACCAGGTCCGGGACGCGAACCGCGGTTGACTATGCGGGAGTCCAGCGACATAGCCATTACGCTAACTGCTGGTCCCATAGAGATATTTTTTAAAACTAATTAAGGTTTCTTGAAAAGTTAAACGTGAATTACTGTATGATCCAGAAATTCCACTCTTGGGTCTATACCTATAATTAAAGACAGGGACTCAAAGAGATATTTGTATCAGAGCAGCATTATTCACAAAAGACAAAAGCTGGAAGTAACCCAAGTCCCCATAGATGGATGAATGGCTAAACAACATGGATGAACCTTGAGGACATTATGTTAAGTCACAAAAGGAGAAATACTGTATGGTTCCACTTATCTGAGGTCACTACAAGAGTCACATTCACAGAAACAGAAAATAGAATGGTGTTGCCAGAGGTTGGGAGAAAGGGGTAACGGAGAGTTAAGTGTTTCGTGGGATAAGGAAACATTCTAGAGCTGGATGGTGGTGACAGCTGCACAGCAAAATGAACATACTTAGCGCCACAGAACTGATACAAGTGGTTAAGGGGCTAGTGGTAAAATGTGATGCTCTATGAGACTGACCCACAGGGAAGGGATTCTGGTTCAAGTCTGGGGACTTCCTTGAGTATGCTGGGCATGCATGTGCCCATGATCTAGGGCTGGCTGAAGCTGGGGCTAGACAGGGGTGTCAAGACCCTGTTAGAGCTGCTGTCTCTCCCTCTCGCTCGCTTGCAGAAGAATAAACTTTTTTTATTTTTTTAAAGAATTATTTTATTTAACTTTATTTATTTAAATTTTACCATAGAGGCACAGAATGAGGGAGAGAAGTAGAAAGAGAAAGCAACCTGCCAGGTCTGGGACTCAAACCACCATCAGCCATGTGGGAATCCAGCACCATTAGCCACCACGCCACCTGCTAGCCCCAAAGAATAAACTGTTTTTAAAAGTAGTTAAAATGGCAGCCAGTTGTAGTTACAATGGGGGCCAGTAGATGGTGTGATGGTTGAGGTGACATGGCCACCTACAGTTCAAGTCTCAGACCTGGCAGCTTCCTTTCTCTCTCTCTTTCTCTCTCTCTAGTGAGCACATGTGCTCTATGGAAAATTTAATGATAATAATAAAATTAAATAAATAATTATTTTTAAAAATATTTTTAAAAATAAAGTTGTGAGACCAGCAGATGGAGTAATGATTACATCACTGGACTCCCATGTAGTCAACTACTGTTTTGAAGCCCAGGATGATACATCTCTTGGGCAAGTTCATTAATCTCTCTCTGCCTCATTTTACCTATAACATATGGATAATAGTGCCTGCCTCAGGCCAGCAGGTGGTGTGTTGGTTAAGGGCACTGGACTCCCACATAGCCAACTATGGTTCAAGTCCTGGACCTGGTGGCTTCCTTTCTCATTTTCTCTCTCTTTCTCTCTCTCTCTCTCTTTTCTCTCTCAGGTCAAATTGGAATATAATAATAATAATAAATAAAGTTAAAAGAGCCTTAGATTGGGACCAGCCAGTGGTGCAGTGATGTGGGTAGCTGAATCTCACATGACCAACTGTGCGGCTGCAGTCCTAGACCTAGTGGCTTGAAAAACACACAGAGTACGTGTGCATGCATGCCCAAAATCTTGAGATGAGAATGGAGAAGAGTCTGCAGAGTAGCCGTCTCCCTGCTTTCTCAATCTCTTCCCTTCCCTGACCCCGTCTCTGTCTCTCTCTCTCGCAATAGCACACACCCTATAGCAAATCAAAAAAAAAAAAAAGGAGCCTTAGATCTACCACAGTTTGATTATTGCTACCTTAATCAAAACATAGAAAGAGGGACCAGCAGTTAATGTAATGGCTATGTCGCTGGACTCCCCTGTAGTTGACCGCGGGTCGAGTCCTGGACCCAGTGGCTTAAACTCACGCCGGGAGCGTGTGCGTGCATGCCCAAGATCCCAAGAGGAGAATGGAGGAGAAGGGATTGCGGTGTGGCCATCCCCCCGGGGGGTGATTTCTGGCTTTTTATCTCTCTGTCTCTCTCTGTCTGGCGAGTGCACGCGCCCTATAGCGAAAACCTCTCCAAGAAAAAGAAAAAAAAAAACATAGAAAGATGATTCTTGACTATAATCTAACATGGACTGTACTTTTTCGTTTTGTTTGATAGAGATTTTTGCTATAGTGTGTGCTTGCCAGAGAGACAGAAAGCGAGAAATTACCCGTCAAAGGGGGGATGGCCATACCAAAATCCCTCTTTTCTCCATTATGCTCTCAGGATTTTGAGCACACTCACACACACACCTAGCATGAGTTTCAAGCTGCTGAGTCCAGGACTCAAACTCCAGTCGACCACATGGGAGTCCAGCACCCCAACTATTATGCAACCTGCTGTCCCTGGATAGTACTTTTGATTAATATAAAAGCACTCAAGTATGAAACAGGTCATTACTTAATACTCTTTAATTTGCCAGCAGGTATGTGCACTCTCCAGAAAGACAGAGAAATGGGGAGAAAACACCTTCCATGGGGCATGGTCATGCCACAATCCCTTCTCCATCCTGCTGAGGTTTTGGGCACATACGCACACATGCCCAGTGTTTCTTTTAAGTGCTAGGGCTGAGATTTGAACTGTGCAGTCAGCCATGTGGAATCCAGCTCCCTTAACAATCCGGCCACAAGCTGATATCCAATACTTTTTTTTTTTTTTTAGAGGTTTTTGCCTTAGGGTGTGTATACTTGCCAGAGAGAGAGAGACAGAGACAGTATGAGGGAAAGTGAGATATCACCCTCCAGAGCCTCGAATCACGCTGCAATCCTCTCTCCTACATTCTCCTTCTGGGTTCTTGAATGCACACACACACATGCTGGCATGATTTTTAAGCTACTGGGTCCAGGCCTCGAACTACAGTCGGCCATGTGGGAGTCCAGTGATGTAACCACTATACCATCCGCTGGTCCCAGTACTCATCTTGAATCCTACTTAGCCTGATATTATTTGGCATCAGTGAAGTTCTTTTTGCTCATTTTTGTTTGGCTTATCCTTGGTCATTCTTTCTGTGCCAATTTGTCTTTTCTAAGCAAGAACACATTTGGATTCTTTTTGGATTCTATCTGACTAAGCCACTCATTAGGGAACTTAATCCATTATCACTGACAGCACATGTACTGTCTCATAGCTACCATTTTCGGCTTTCAACTTTTTATTTCCTTTCTGTTCTTGCTCCATGGCCCCTTCAGTGATTTAAAGGTAGATAGATTGTTTGCAATTCTAAAAAGATTCTAATTGCTTTTAAATTTTAATGATGGCTATATCGCAGTATTTCAAAAATTCCCTACGCCTACAATATTCAAGGGACTGAAAATTCTCTTAGTCTCCCCTCTGTGGAAAGTGGAAGATTCTCTGCTGTTCTCTCTCACCACCCTACCCGGCTATCACTCTACATAAAATAAAATAAAATGCTGCAGGCTCAGCAGATGCATCATTTTAAACACCAGTCATTCAGCTTGGGTTCCCACAACCTACCACGATATGGTCCCTTCCTGTCGCCACTGTCATCTCTGCTTTCTTTTTTAAAAATAGGTTCTAAAAGAATTTCTCAAGGTCGCCCTTGACCTCGCCCCTCTGATGGATGCCTCTGCAGGTACTATTAACTGCTTCTATCAAGATCTTTGTATTTGCCTATCCTGTTTTTCATTCCTATGTA